TGGTGGTAGCACTTGAATGTTTCATTGTTGTGAGCACTCAGGTCTTGGTAGATGTTAGAAGGAACAGCGAATGACCGCCAGACCATAGGAATTGGGATTTGATTTGGGCCTTGCATTGTATACTTTGGGGTGGAGCCTAGAATTCAAGCTTGAGTTCCTCATGTAAGTGGGACTCGCTGCTGTTTTTTGCATTCGTTCAACTTCCTTTCAAACAAGTGCGAGCCCATATGCTGGTAACAAATCCGGACGTACACGAACCTAGTTTTTGTGGAGCTCGAGATAAGATGTATCCCAATGATGCAAATCCTAAATCCTAAATCCTANNACTCTAAACCCTAAATCTGAAACCTTACACCCTAAACCACCCTTTAAGTGAGATTGAAGGCCAGTGTTATGTGTATTTGGCAAGTCTAGGTGCAGGTTTCCGAGGATATTCGGTGAGAGTACAGTGGAGCCAGGACACGCCATGATTGCAAGCAGTCTAGGGCTCAGGGTTTAGGGTCAAGCGAGTATTTCATGTGTGGATGCTATGGGAAGATGACATTCACAGTATCTTGTATACAGAACATGATCTGTCTCGGTTTCACCAACAAAAGCACTACTCAAGTGGCAATTTTTACGAGCACTCCCTGTATCATCCTAGAGGGGATCGCCCAATCTGCCATTACAATGTCACCTTCTGCCACATGAATCAGCGAGGCTACTCTGTCTTTATAAAAATGTGCCACGAACTGAGCCGTTTTTGGCGGATGTCGCAATTCTTAAGAGGGAGTACCAAAGAGAGGTAATCTCTTTAGATCTTGATTGACCCCTAAGCCCTAAACCCATCCTGATTGCCAAGGACTTGGTCACGATGCTTAATCACACCTGGACCTACCAGGTCATGAGCCCTGCTTGAGGTTCTAGGGTTTTGGGTTTAGGGGCTTAGGTGGTTTGGCTCCGGGGAAGTGGGTGCGTGGTACTTTGCACTTTGGGACTGCTACAGAGTTTGAAGGGTAGAGATGATGAGGGAGAGAGATGGACTACAAAACATGCAGCTCTACTGTACTGACGCTACGGCTGCCGAAATAAATTTGAAAGTGTTTAGGGTTTAGGGTTTAGGCTTTCTGTTGATGGGCTTTTTACGGTGGCTCCTTCGTCTGAGCGTTTCAGGTAGGGCTGGGACATTTGTCGGGTGTATGCCGGTTTGGTCTCAGCCCAGACGGAATCAGCAACTACACCGCTTCTATGAGGTAATCCCAACTGGTAGCTTCCATTTTCTTATCCATGATCCTTATGTAGCCCAGATATACTATAGTAGTTCCCATTTTCTTTTCCATTATCCCAAGTCCCAAACATTCAATCCTGAAACATATGGGTGTCGGTGACACTGGTGCTACTCGCCTACCTTGGTCTCCGCACTTCTAGGCCCCACCCTGCGTGCCTAAATGGGGTTTCCCCAAATTAGGGGTACATTTTTTGGGGGTCCCTCTAATAAGGATTATAGTATTTGGGGGTCTATTTTGGGGTACCCCTATTTAGGCAAACTACCATATTATATAACCCTATAGAATCCTCTATATAACCACCTTTCAAAGGGTTTGCAGGCAAACCAAATCCCAGCGCAAGGATGCGACCAAGTGGAAATTTGAGGGATTTGCCTTACCTGCATTCAGGCGATGGTGCACGATGTCCTTGGCATGCGGCTGAACAAGATGCAGGTTCTAGTGGGCAACGGGAAGGATGACTCGCTATGCTTGTGCTGCTCATATCAGCAGAAATGAGCTTTGGGCAGCCAGACTTCAGCAATTGGAATTTAAGGAGCAGTGCTGATAGGTGTTGCTCTCAGCAATTCTATGGGTGAGCTCCGGTATCCAAGGTAAGGTGTGAGGTTTTAGGGGTTTAGGTCTCGCGTCACAGTTTGTGCCCATGCGGACTTATGTCTTATGCAGAGCGTTATGAGAACTGTAAAGCAGGTCGTGACCCCGTTAAATCCTTGAACTGGGTTGCTGTAAAGGAACTTAGTTTAAGTTACTCTATAAAGAAACCAGACTATTTTATCTATATATACACATAGGGTAAACTAATTTAAGTTCCTTAGCAGCAACACAATACAATGAAGTGCCACATGGAAGGTGGTCAGACTTTTGAGCCCCTTTGTTGAGTCCCTGGTATTACACGGCCCCGAAATTTTCAGGGTACTCATTTCTGAGCATACTTTTGACAACCGAAATTTAGACCCTAAACCCTAAACCCTACACCCCAATTCAATAATCCCAGAACCCCACGCCAGACCTGTTGCAGGTTCCAGTCGAGTCCGAGGATGCGTCTGCACCACCCAAAGCAAGGTGCTAGACTGCACAGATCCTTTGTCGTTTAGGTTTTGGGGTAGTTTAGGGCTGATGATTCTGCAACATACTTATACAGAAGGAAGCTCCTGGAAAACCGGGATTGGGGTTTCATGGCAATGTATCAGGTCCTCCTCGGATTGCGGATTTTGGTAGCAGGTTCTGGCTTTGGGAACGACCCTGGCAGTGAGCTTGTCCTATAGAGCTCACTTACCTTCAAGCCCTGAAGTCCTGAAAGCCTAAACCTAAACCCTAAACCAATAATTATTATAAACCCTGAGCCCTGGGACCCCTGAATCACGGGGTTTAGGACGCAGGGTGCAGGCCGGCTCACGGTTGCAATGACGGCTTATCAGGATCATTGTCAAAAGCAAACGAAAGAGTTTTGATGTCGACGGCCTACAACCCTGCCTGGTACTTGATGACAACTTCTTCTGGAAAACGCACGGTAGGTCTGCTGTTGGGAGTGTGTTCTCGACGACACTGCTGCTGCTAATGCTGCCAATGCTGATGATGAGGATGCATCTTGTGGCCATCTTCCTTAACCTTCTTTGCAGTCTGCCCATTTTGGATATGAGGATGAGGATTGTGTTTGTTTGCAGTCAATCGGATTTAGGATCAGGGTGATACCTCGCAGGTTCGAGAGCATGTTGTTTGGGTTCATGGCCTGTCGGTTTCAGATTTCTCTGCATTTCCTCAGCCTTGTGCGCATTTGGAGTCGCCTCAAAGCCTCAAATCTGGAATCTAACCCGAACTCACGAGCTCAATCTCCAACCCCAGGAAGTCCTGAATCACCAGTCTGACACGAAACCCTAAACCCTAGCCCTCAATGATGGGAGCCTGTGGCAGGTCCTATGACGTTGATGAGGCCGATGCTTTCTGGACTGCTCATGCTGGAGATCAGTTTCCTGAGGTGCTAAATGCAGCCCCTTTGCTTGCAGCAGTGCAGGGTCTACTGCCCAGCGTTAAGGCTGGCTACTGTTATAACCGGGCAGGGTTTTTCCTTCTTGCCCCTAGGGAGATGCAGGTACGGTTTTCCCTTACTTGACGCAATTGGGTTCCAAAGGTATTACAAACATGAAAACTGTTGATGCGTGAATGTGGTTGTGTTTTTTGATTGCTGTTCTCCTCCTCTACATGCACTGATGATTCCCAATGACCTGTGCTAGTAAAGGTGTCTGGGTTATTGTCCGCAGCTACACCACCAAATCGTCGCTACGCTGAGCCCTACACATTGGATTAGGCCCCATTCTTTAAGAGTGTTATAAAAAGGATTACACAGGGACCGGACCTGCTGATTTCCATTTTCCTCTGTGGTCACTATTGACGGGTTAGGGCATGTTGGGGCCTGACTGACCTACACCCAACACTCAAGCAGAGGGCGAGGTCTTGGAGTTGCCACGCCTTGATGTCCAGGCCGCCGTCTCTGTAGCATTGGAGCGCTCTTGGCAGGTTTCACAGAGATTTCGAGCGGATGTCTTATTCTGGGTCCCCATGCGAAGACCTCCATGATTCCAGGTTTTCAAGACGTAGGCAGCCTCATGATGTTCCTGGGAAGTTCTCCTTGAGCTGACTGAGGTGCCGAAGGCTATCGAGGCTCGAAACTCTTTGATGTTGATGCTGTTGGGCGGGGTAGACGTCAGATGTCAGAACCCTAAACCCCAAACCCTAAACCCCAAACAACCCTAAACCCCAAACCCGAAACCCGAAGCATGCCTAAACCATGCCATCGGATCTGCTTATGCTAAGTGTGGAATGGTTGGGCTCCTTGTCTGTGGGGTTCCTGTGGAGAGAGGGCAGTTGAGTCAAAGTGGTGGAATCAAATACTCGCATTTTCATTCTAGGTATCGCTGTTTGTGCTGTTACCATTACTACTTGGGTTAGGCCCCTACCCACCAACAGTGGTATACTAGGAATATATACAGGGCCTAATATAATTACCATTCTCTCTTGTGGTTACTACTAGTGGGTGGGGGCCCAACCTAAATTATTACTGTTAGTATTGCGGTTGTCAGTGTGTTCACTACTACGGATTTCTTCCGCCAATCAGAGCTGGAATTCGATGGGGCATGTGAGCTCTTGTCTAGACTCCTTAAAGGGAGTTATGTATAGGGGATATAGGGGTTCTATAGGGTTCTATAGGGTTATATGGGGTTATCTAGGGTTATATGGGGTTATATAGGGTTATATAGGGATATATGTAGGGGAATGAGGGGAGTATTGTACGGGTCATTAGGGCGGATACTAGAAGTTTAGACTACAGCTCATGTAAGGGGTTTCGTCCAGAGCGCTGAGGCAGGAGCTTCCATCAGTGAATAGCTTGTGCTGCTGTTAAGGAACTTAAATGAAGTTCCTATGAAAAGGAGACCCTATTACAGACTACATGCCCATAAGAGGGTAACGTAGTTTAAGTTCCTTAAGAGCAACCCAGTAGAGTTTAAAGCTGGGTATAGGATTTCGGCTGTAGGTTGGGCCCGCCGCGGTTTAGGAGGTGTCCCATGCTAACCTAAGCTCCTGATCCTGCGTTAACCTGAGCTCCCATAGAAGCAGGACTTCGAGAAGAGACGAAATGAGATGGCAGGGTCTGGCCAGCAGGAGGCGCCAGCGCTTCTGAACAGGGAGTTTAGGGTTCAGGGCTTCTGGCGCAGTTTGTGAGTTTTAGCGGGCCCAGCCTGAATTGTTCTCCCGTCCCTTGGGCCTGAGCCATGCTGAATGCTGCTCTTCAGCTTTGGCGTCAATCCTTGAGAACATGTCCAAGCCTTCTGGGGGGTTGAGTGAAGCCCATTGAGTGAGGCTATGAGCCCCCCTCAAACTCGTAAACCACACTTCTTCAAACACTTGATACTCTTCAGCCTCATGCTCGAAAGTGTGAGTTGCTGGTGTCATGACTGCTATTATAGGTTTTGTTTTGTTCCTATCCAGGTTCATCCTGCCACCGCCACCGCCACCGCGACCG